CCGCCGAAGACGGATAACAGTAACAGCAATAATAATAACAGTAATGATTAGCTCAACGAGTTACAGACCGTTTTGTTAGATTTCCGCCCAAACTGGGGTGGGTTACGTGATATGGTTTTATTCTTGTGAGATTGTTCGAGTGCCGTTCGTGATTGGGCAGGGTCGACATTTTAGACGTTTGTTTGTTCTAATACCGATTGAAATCCAGAAGCAGTGCAGTCCACTCTTACTCGATACACAATTTAGTATTTACACAACACGTGAAAATAACACCTCTTTTGTGATAGTTGTTTTTCGTTCATTAATTTGTACGAAATAAGGTATATTTTAAATGTAGTACAATATATGTGGGCTTGTATTAAAAAATAAATGAACTCAATGCGTACATAAAATTAAATAATCGTATCACGAAAAAAAGTAACTTAACTCTAACTTTCAAATTTTTCAGTTTCCGACTTTGTAATTTAAGCTTGTAGTAGGTACGTGTATGATTTAGATGAACACGAGTCGTTGATGGATAGAGACAAAATAATTTTTTTAACTTTTAAAAGTTATAATATGATATTAACTTTCAATATTTGTTTACCCCGCGACATTCGCGTGTCATTATTTAATACCTACTGATTGTATTTATAGTTTTAATACAAGCAAATATATGACTCAATTCCCGATGTGTATACTAAAATAATTAAAAGTATACAACTTATATTTGTTGAGAAAACCTATAGAATATAGCGTTTTCGTATTACATACTCGTAAACGATGAGAAAATGTGTAAAGATTATCAATTATATGCTTTGTACGTAAATTAAAAATGATTTAACTAAAAAAGGTGCAAAAGAAAAACTACAATAACGCTTCGGTAGTGTTATTGAATAGGATATATCATTTGATTGTAAAGTTAACCACAATATTCTTTAAAATAATAATGATTGGTGAATGATTAAAAAACCGGTATATCAAAATTATCTTAATTAATTCTAAAAAAAAATTTAAACAAATTTGTTTTTTTTCTTAGTTTTTACTCAACTTTGTGTTTCTGTATTTTTTTTCTGTTACGCGTGGACATAGATAATAGCACCGAATCGACAATATTATTAGTATAGTAAAATAACAGATGTAAGTAAATACATATTTCTATAGAAATCATTGAATAATAAATGCTATATAGTTCATACTGCAGATTTTAAACAAATTCGTGGATAAATATCTCAAAATAATATATTATTATAAAATTATTATACGATGAGAGAGTTTAATAATTTTTGAAATAACTTACGCGTTTCGAGACCATCCACTTTGACTTTAGACAAATCCACCGGAGATTGTACAACAATCTTGATCGGACAATTAGGCACTTTGACTCCGCCATAAGTACAATTCAAATTATGAACACCTGAAGTGGTCGGAACGTAGTCAATAAGGAACGAACCGTCTTCGTTGTCGTTGACCTGCAATGGCACGTTGACTCCTTTTTCGTTGACCAGATTTACATTTAACTCGCCTAAGAAACCAATAAACTCACATCAATTATAATTTGCATTTACCATATTATTTTAGTGTAAAATATGGGTAGGATGTTCTCATTATGGGTTTTTAGTTTAGATTTTACAATCGATGAATATTGTTAGGTAGATGCATTTTCGTAGTTCCATTAAAATATATTATCAGCAGGTGCAAAACTTGCATTGGTTCAATAATCATAAGAACAAATTAAATCATATTCAAATGTACTTTAACCCTGACACCATTGTTATAAATTATAATAAATTCAGTTGCTACGTTGGAAATTTTCTCGACGCTTATATTCACACAATTTATTGGATCGTATTTTTAATTATTTATAAAAATAGATTTTGTAAGAGATTAATGTGAAAAATGTTTTACCAGCCAGGATCGTCGACCTTGACGTAAGCGTATAATAAATTATGCGTGAACAAAATTAATGTTTTTTTTTATATTATTTTTAGTCATCTAAAACTGCATCACAACTGCTCCATAACATTCCGAGGATAACAAATGCCATCCTACTTGGCTCTAGAATCTCAAATATTATTATGCATATTTTCTGATCCAAAGTGGTATAACAATAGATACTAATTCTCACGGTGTTGTATAATCGTTACTTTCAATTTAAAAATTAAACATAATATATTATATTATTTTACAATTATGTTACACGAGAATCTGTAGGGCTTTAGTAATTTTCATTAATATTTATCAGCAGAATGTTTTTTTTTTTTTTTTTTACTATTTTAAGTTTCTTTTATTAAACTATAACTATACATTAAAATACCTATAAAATATTTTTATTCATTAAACAATGTTATTTTTTTTAAATAACCCAAACGTTTTGATAAATGAATCACATTGATTGTATCGTTATTAAGAAATTGTTTTTTACGACCTAATTCTTAATGAATAATAATATTATCTACTTCATCCGTTAAGTTACAAGTAAACATTTAAAAATCACGATATGAATTAGTTAATTTGATTTTAGTCCGTACAAAAAAACATTTTGAACGAAATGTTTAAGACACCTACTGGGTAATGTTTAATAATATTTTATATGGATCACGTCATTAAAACCAAATGAAGAGTGAAGATTCAAAGTCCCAAATAAAATTCGATCGCGCATTATATAAAATAATAATATATATTTTATGATATGTAAACAAATTTACCGATTCCAGCATCGGAACAATCGATTGTGAAATGATTGGGTTTATTGGTCTTGACACCGGATTCGATACCGGGTCCAAATATTTGTACTTTGTTCGCGTTCAATGGCTGTGACACGAAAACGCGGAATGGACTTTGTGGTACGGCAACACCTCCGTAACTGACCTGTATAGAAACAACATAAAACATGAGCGATAGAGTTCTTTTTTCACGAGTATTAATACCTTAAACATAAATGTTTCGGAAGGGTTTGTTATTGTTATGATTTACCTGTAGCGTATGTTTACCGATCGCTTTCGGAACATATTTGCAAGAAAATGTACCGTCTCTATTGTCTTTCAAAACGGGTTCAACAAAGTTGCCATTTGAATCGATGACCTTTAAAATTGAAGTATAAAATTATTGTATCGAACAAAATATTAACTATTTTTACTTTTTAATTATGATTATAAATATTTTTATAGATTATATTTTAATAGTTTTATGGTGATTACTATTGTAACGAGCTGTGATAACTTATAGACATAACATATGTATATGTTTGTAAGTATTTATGTATGTAGCAACCCTGTAGTAAAAACATAAATAAATAATAATATGAAAGGGACCGTAGGCCTAAACAAATGTCTGCAGCTCTCAAGTATAAGGTGCGATGATAAATAATAATTATATTTGTTGACATCGTTATACGCATAATTTAATGTAAGCTAGAATTGTTTGTTTTCGTCAGAACATTAATAGCACGTAGGTTATTTATGGTCATTTTATGTAAATTATAATGGAAATATGCTTACTCTGATAAAATAGCTATTCCTAAAACCCACAGGCATTTGTCAGACGCAAAGTATCACAAAGTTTGTAACAATATCTATTTAGCTATTACGTTAATATAAAATATGTTTTATTGTCATTTGGACTAAGAATTTAAACTTAGAATATTTCACTAAACTGTGTTTAAATGATTTCAAATTCTGTTCATTGACCTATACAACTGAGTGTACGCTCACTATGTTATTAAAAATTATTGGTAGTTCCAGTCTTATTTTTATACTATTGCATTACAAAAGAAATAAATAATACAATATAAATATGTACCTATCTAATATATATGTATAAACAAGAAATAAAAATTCAAAATATAGTTTTGTTTACATAACGAGTTAAGTTTAAAAAAAATTATTATGTAATATTAAACCTTATTCTAACAAGCAATAAAACTCATATTGAAGTTAGGTACCTACTATAAAATTTTAAATGTTTAGTTGACGAGTGTATTACCTATAATATTGTTGTAATAAAATATGATCTATTTTAACTAATGTATAATATAATATTAATATTATTATTCAACAGAAATCCAAATAAAAGTAACTAACAGTTTTTTTTTTTTTTTTTTAACCTAATTAAAAAAAATTGAATATGAAATATGAATAATTTAATTAAACCAATTATTTTGATTTGATATCAGAAAACATTTAATAAAATGTTATTCAATTACATCTTAGAAATTTAGAATATTGCAAAACAATAATTATTTGTTTTGTTATAAATTATATAATATATTTATAATTATATAATGAGGAAAACTCCTTGGAATAAGACTTGGTATCTTGGTGGTAGTAAGTTAATAGGTTTAATCAACTTTAATTTAAAAAAAATAAAAATAATTTATAAGTTAATTTTAAAACATAAATAAACTAACTTCGTTTTATTTATAATTTAATACATAATCCTTTCTAACAGGTAGCAATATAAATATTGTGGATGAAAAATTTTTCAAGTGTGTATGGGTGAATATGTGTATTATAGCTATAAACCAAGTTAGAAAAGTTAAATAAAATCATCAACGCGACTGACTTTCGTGGTACTCGTTGTATACTCGTAACATATTTAAATATTAAAATATGATTGTATAGAAAAGGTATTTTTTTCTTCTTTTAGAGTTAGTTACCTTTACGTCGAGTGGAGCTACCCCAGCTTTTTTTGTGTCCACGACAAATTCAGCTGGCTTTCCTTGTATGACACCGTTCGGTTGCAGTCCACTACCGTAACAATTCACCTATACACATTACCAAAACGTTAGAGATTTGTAATAACATAATAATTCTCAATTAAAACTATTGTTGCCTTACTTTGTCGGGATAGAAATCCGTACTAGGTACGACATTCGCGATGTATGGCGACTTCGGTATGTCTTCGTTATCGCATAATATATGCACAGCATATTCTCCTGGCGCCATCGGGTAGTACCTGACATCCGCTGATCCGTCGCCGTTGTCCTGACAATCGATTTTTGCTTTTGATGGTCCTTCAATACTGAATCCTGTAAAAGCGACGGTTTTCATAAAAAATGTATAGATAATAATATGTCAGTAATAAATTGTTACAACTTAGTGTGTTAATAATATTTAATAACATTGATGTTACACATTGGATCAAAGTCTATTCGTTGTTTTTTATTTATTCGAACAACAATATTTCAATTTCAAGTACATAATGACAGTCGATATTTTATTATTATACATTAATTGGGAAATAGCAAATTCAAGTTTAAGTGTTTAACCCATTAATAACTAACAAGTAATGTTCCAACAATAGTCTCAGAAATAGCAAGTTAAAAAAAAAAATAGATAAGTACACACATCAAATTAAAAATGAGACATTTTATAAAAAGAAATAAACTGAAATCACTAACTACTTATGACTAATACCCAATTCCATTATAGAATTTATTTCGTGTTCTTTTTATCGCATTTTATTCAATAATATTGCGTAGATTTGTGATGGGTAGCAAGGTTTTTATAGAAATAATCAGTGGAGCACCGAAAAAATAATATGATTATTTGCTAATTATAAATTGTAATGCCAATTTTATTTAACATCCACAAAATACTCAATTGTTTAAAGAAGATATTATAACATTGCTTGATGGCAAGTCTCTGAAAATTTGATGTAGTTATCATAAACTTGTACTTGAGATTTTACAAACGATTATTTTTCTTATATAAAAACCGTGATTCCGGTTTGTTGTTAATATACATTTTACGTTTTCATATTTGATAAATCTTTAACGATCATTACATTTTTTAATTTTAATTGATATCATAAATATTATAAATATTAAATTAAAATAATCACAGAAATGCAAAAATGAAAATACAATTTTTGAAAATTAAATTGACGGGTTATAGGTATTCTCGTGGATAGTATTATTAAATGTAATATAGAATGTTAGCTGATTCTTATATGTCTTTTAAAATCATGTTCCAAACTTTTTCTGTAAAAATTTCATGCACCACCTCTGTGCAATAGCAACTTTATTGTTTTTTACTTGCCTAGTGAACCAGTTTCTCCGTTAGTTTCAACCGTAAACATCGCTGGATGCGAAACTACACCACCAGTAAGTCCAGGACCATAAGCACGAATCAAAGTCTCTTTAAATGGCTTGACGTGTACTTCAAACGGTGCTTTTGGAATTTCCACTCCTCCAAAGGTCACCATCACCACATGCCGTCCAACTTTCCTTGGATAGTATGTTGCTTCATAAGTATGTGCGTCGAGTTTTTTCATGTTTACAGGTTCTTTGACTCCGCCTACGCATAAATTAATTATTTTATATATTAATTATAATCTCTCTGTTCAAATTTATTATAATAATAATAAGAACCAAAAAAATAAATAAATATTGTTTATGTATGTTACTAGAAATATCCGTACTGCAAAATAAACACTCCCACGTTAAATTCAAAAACAAAATGATTTTGATTATTTTTGTTCACATTATTCTATTATTAAAAGATCTTTTACTATAATAAATTATCTTTTTTGAACTACTGACTACCAATAGCTATAGTAGTGATTATCCATGTAATATAGATACAACATATTATATTTTCTTACTGATAATTAAGTTTTATACTAAATGTTTTTTTGGCAGAGAGTGTAACAGAAGAATAATTCTTATATCCTATAATGCATTTCGTATCATTCTGTTTACAATAAGGTAAACTTTATTAACATTTTTTTTTATAATTTTTTTTTTTTGTTATTTTTATACAGTTTTTACGAAATTTTACCTATTTTAGATTTTGAACGGAAAAATGTATTGATTTTAAAATTATGTGTGTTTTTATTTTATGTCTATTATTAATATTTATGACAGTAAAAATTTTTCAAAACTTTCATGTCGGTCTCTAAAATAAAAAATTATCAATAATTTTCAAAATAACCCAATGAAAAAATTGAAATTTTTAAACAAAACCGATTTATTTTTTTGATGTAGCTCAAAAATGAATCATTTTTGATACTACAATTTTCATAAAATGTTTATATTAGAATTTTCCAAGGTCGATAAAATTGTCTATAAATATAAGGTTCTTTTGAGCTATTTATAAACGTTTGAAACAGTCAATTTTTAATCATAAATTTTAATAAAATAATTAATTAATTGATTAAAGTGCTTGGAAAGTTAATATAAGGTTTTTTTTATAAATTGTTATTATTGACATTTAAAAATATTAAAGATATATTGACACGGTTTTTATTTATAAATAAATTGAACTTAAAATACCTATTGATGAAATTAGTCAAAATCACAACATTTGCAAATAATTTTGTAATTAAGAATGTATTAAATGTTTAATTTTCATAGATAAGGATATGAGATTTTTCATAAGTATTTTATGCAGTGACTAATAAATATTATAATAACACAGTTTTTTTTTTTTTAATATTTTAAGTTAAAATTCGTACGAAATTAAATAATTAAACGAAGATAAATGTCATGCAACTATGAACCTATTTTTGTTCTAAAACAAGTCAGTTTTAATTTAAAAGTTAATAACAATTATGTAAACATATACTAATATGATAATAATTAAAAATTAACAAAATAAAAAATGTATAGTTTTCGGCAATATTGAATCATATTATTAATAATAAAATCTATTGTATTACTTTTAGTAAAAAAAATTATAATATTCATAATATTATCAATAATATACATGGACAACATTTTTTTTGCTCAGATCGTTTTTCGTATTCGATGATTGATAATCTCAAAAATTAACACTTTATAGTGTTTTTTAATGAATAGATTTGTGCAACACTTAGTATAAGTACAGCAAAGCTATGTTATTACTTTTTTTTTTTTTTTTTGCGGTATATTTTTATATTTTGTAAATTGGTTGTCAATTAATGCTTTTTAATTATTTATTTTGCAAAAACCTGAGTGCTAATGATTACTAAGATTTATTTTCTGGTTGATTATTAACAAGAAATCTGCATTAATCTTATATTCAGAGGGTAATGTGAAATTTACCAAAAATTATAAATTATCTTAATATAAACATTGGTAAGGATTTTACCCGGTCCGATTACGTTCACTTCGGGAACTTCTTCGCCTGCTCCGTCTGTGACAATTTTGAATTTAGCTTCATCTTGGACTCTGAGACCATGTGGTTGTATACCACGTCCAAAGGCCCTTACGCGTTTAGCATCCGATGCTATATAAAAAAAATCACACACATATTTGAATTAAATTGAAAAATTATACTATTCCTTATTGTGTTATTTCTTACCATTCGATACGCCGACAGCGAATGGGCTCAGCGGCACAGGTTGATTTGCGAAGAAAACATTAACAGAGTGCACTCCCTGGACGACCGGTGTGTAATCGCATATATATACTCCATTAGGTTCTTTCTTGAGTTTCACCGGTATCGTGTTTTCTCGGCCAGCAGGATCGAGAATTATTACCTCAGGAACACCTTTTCCGGCATCTTAGAAAAAAACACAATGTTCAGATTTTAACAATCTCGTAATAAATAATAAAAAATAAGTATATATACCTTTTGTATGTATTTCGAAATAAGTAGGTCTGCTCGTGAACACACCTTCGGGCTGTATACCAGGTCCGAAGACATTAACTTTGTTTGGATCGCCAGCCGATGCATCCACGTTAACGTGATACGGAGATTTTGGAGTCGGAACGCCAGAAAAGTTCACATGTACTTTGTGTGGTCCTTCGACGACCGGCTTGTATGTAGCTGTGTAAGTTTGACTTCGGTCATTGTTGAAAACCAAATCAACCTTAAAATTGAAAACATATTCAAATATGAAAAATCACATTTTTCAAATAAAATGCTTACCGGTTCAGCTTTGCCTTTGGGATTTTCTACAGTCACGTTAACTGTGCCTTTGCCAGCGGAAAACGTTTCGACAGTGAAATTCGTTTTGGCTCCTACAACTGGCCCAGAGGGTTCGATTCCGGGACCATAAACGCGAACGCTAAACACGAAATGAAAGATAATATTGGTTATACATTCAGAATAGTCAGAATAGTTAAGCTATAGATACGCCGTTTTGCCTAATCGAAATTAAATACAATAATATTTTTATACCGGCTTGGGTTGGTTTTCGATCTAATCGGTGCTCCTTGTTTCAACTTGGCGTTTGGATACTGAGATAGATAGGTCATCATGGATTGTTCGTCCATGTTGGGACTGACCAATTCTTCAGGTTTAATGAGCTGCAAACATAGTTTATTAATAATTGTTGAAACTTAATTCAAATACCACAGTGACAATTACTTGTTTTATGTTGAGCCAATCGTCAGCCAAGCCCATAGCTTCCGATGCATTCTTAAGTGCGTTATTGGATTTCCAATCCTGCCAGTCCGGACACAAGCCTAAATATTTATAATAATAATTAAAATTTGAAAGGCCATTGGACGTTTTGCTCGTAAAACAACGACGTTGTCTTATCAATTATCATATTTACCTGGAGCGACGGCGTCGACCAAAGCACCGACGGCCTTTCCATCATTCCAATCTGTAGTGAAATTCGAAATTGGTATATCGGGTACCTTACTTTGGATCCAGTTCAGCAATCTAAACGAGAAGAATATTTTAATATTTTAATATTTTTTTTTTACGTCTACAATTAAACCCGAAAAAGAAAATCCGTCAATCCGTCGGTATTCGAATATTATATTTTGAATCCTGTGTTAGATTTAATCGTAGCTACAGTATCCCAGATATTACAATGCCCCAGGTACATCTTACACGGAAAACGCATTAAATCAGTTAATTTTTTTTTTTATTCGTTTTATTTCGTTCAGAGTATTTTAACGTTTAAAGTGTCTACAGACGATAACAGGGTTTCAGTTTATATTTGTTTAGTCAACGCAGACAACAATGTTTTAATCCTTTCATCGTATGCTCAATACAACACCCTTCGAATGTGCGCGTTCTCATTCGCCTGATATCTGAACACTACCTACCTACTTAACATTCCACACCGTCTGCACCCTTAACTCTGTAACAGTTGAGGCATAATATAATATGCATTATATAAATGTTTTTATATTTCTGTTCCTTTCATCTCAACACAACCTTATTTTTGTTCAGTTTTTAAAGTATATAACATAAACGAGAATTAATAAAAACGAAATAAAATACCATAAAAATTAACAAATATTTACATTCATAAATCAAAACTACAAAGAAAATAAAATTAAATGTTTCCCAATACATAATACACGCAATTTAAACTTTGTTCAACAATAATAAGAAAGATATGTGTTGAAGAAAAGATTAATTATTTTTTTATAAACGCACAGACCTACTCTAGTTACAAGTCAATAATATTACACCGTTTATTACCTTTGTTTCGGTGTCGGTCCTTTTTCGTTTGGTACTTGCTCGCCACCAAATTCGCCATCCCACATTGGCATCGATATAGAGTAATGTAAAATCAACGTCCATATTAATCCCAAAATCAATTTCAATTTGCAATCAACAATATCGGAAGAATCTGAAAAATAATTATAATTTAATATTATTGAAATACGAAGAAAATATTTCATTGTATAAAATAATAATTGTTTCAACATATAATAAAGTACTTTTTTAAACATAACATAATAATAATATTATTTATATATTAAATAACAATAAATATTATTATCAAAAATGTTTTAAGTTATAATTTTTAATTAAAATATTAATTTAATGATCACACATTTCATGAATAATATTTAATTATTAAATTAACAATATTTTTTTTTAAATTACAAAAGTAATTTTTTTATTATTATGGATTAATAGCCATTGTTTACTGCATCGGATTTCAAAAATGTAATAGTTATCTGGTGAAAAATTCCGGAAAATTATCAGAATTAAATTTATACATTAGTCTTAAAAAAAAAAATTAAATAAATGTATTATTGTTAATAATTGTAGTACATCTTCTACAATTTGTTCGAAAATAACTAAATTTTAGATATTGGAAAGTTTTTAAATAAGTAAGAATCGTTGATGTTTTTCGAATTTAACATAATCGCTTTAGAAAAAATCATAATCCGACATTTAGATTCGCCTTATCATACTAAAATAATTATAATGTAACAATCGTAGAAACACTTCAACGTTAATATATAATTTTACGATAATAAATTTACCATTGACAATAAAAAAATTTTAAGTTATAAGTTAATGAAATAAACAATAATCATCTATAAATTGTTGTGTAATGCATAATTTTATTTGCTATTAAATTATGTTTAAAATGTTATTAAATCGTCGGAAAAATTGAATTCTCCGTTTAAGACTCACGGCACATAATAATAAAACGTTATTAAAATCAACATTAAATGACTCTATGGTTAAAGAAATAAAAAATAATAATATTCGGTGTAAAAATGCACACGAGTCAATATTAAACGACAAACGTTATTTCTTTTTAACGTAGCGATAAACGCATATAAAACAAAATATGCCAAACACATAATCACGGTTTAATACCATAAAATATATTTTAACAGCAATAGTTAATAATATGATATATTTTTTTTTATAATAATATTGTGTTATACGGCAGACACACGCATTCTTGGTAATTCCGTAACCGACCATATTCGGCATGCAATAGTTAATTGAGCGGACAGTGATAAATAATATTCGTGTTTTAAACATAAAATATGACAATAATGCAATATCGAAAGTCATTTTCTTTGATGTACTTTTATAATAGTCGGTATTCGTTGTACCGCATCGCCCGTAATGAATTATTGATGTAAGCAATATTATTTATTGTACGTAAAAACTAAAAGTATATAAATATCGACAGAGGTAAAACAATATTATTTTAAATTAAAAAAATTGTCGGCATTTGATTAACGACTAGACGAAATAATTTTAACATGCGTGCTATATTATAGAAACAAAAATAACTGTTAATAATTATATTTACAAAGTCCAATATTGATTTAAAAAAAAAATAAAAACAGTAATACATGTACCTAGATATAATATAATTAATACATTTTTATTTTTATTTTCGTATTTTATGTGATAGATACCGCGTGAGTTGAATTGCTATAAGACTGTTAGATAATGATATATTTTAACACATAGAGGTATTACCGTCGTTCTCTAGATCAACACCTCATAACTCATAAAAAGTAAAACATTTTTATTGGTTTCACTAAACAACTTCATTTATTTGATATGTTTAAATTTTTATACCTATACTATTACAATATGTAATTATCCAAAGTTTGTTGTCCATTTAAATTATATATTAATCTTATATACACTATAGAAATATAAAACCTTACTAAAAAATTGTACAATTAATAACACTAATATTAACGAATATCTTTTAACTGATGAAGTCGAATCTCAATGTAAAGTTTTTTTTTTTCTATACCTACCAACAATTTATACAGTCAAATTCATTATAAAGCTTCATTTAAGCTAAAAATCATACTCAATACTACTGATAACCTTCAACATTTCAAAAACTTCAAAAACCAAAATGTTTTTTAAAATATATATTTTTTTTAAACACCATTTAAAAACATTTTAGCTATCAAATCATGTCTTCAATACCTTTATGATAAAATATTTGTAAAACATAATATAATATTACGTATACGTATATTATATATAAATATATTATAATGTCGAGATATTTTATTTTCATTTAAAAGTAAAGTGGTTCGGCGATTGACGCTTAACATAAAAATGGTTTTAAATTATAATTAATTTTATTATTATGCGCTTAATAACACAAATTCACTGGTATTTTGAATTATAATATAAGTGTCAACACTGTACTTGACCTAATCCAAATGAATTTTTTTGTTTTACAATCAAACTCGATTTTATAGACCAATAAAAAATATACAATAGCCAATAGATATAATTAATATTTAGGTAAGTATAGATAGGTGTATTAGTTCTAATAAGTCTTAAATTGTATGAAAAATTTCATTGATTTGAATTCCAAGAAAATAGCTTGTAAAATAAGTAGATTTCCCCGCTTTTAGGTCGAAGGGTAACAAATAAATAAAAAAATATTATTATATTATGTTATAATATGACTCAGGGGTGAATGCAAAGAGTAGAAGATATGTTAGTTTAAATATGGCTTTCTATAGTCTACACTCTATTACTTATTAGATATTTTATAAAAATAGGCATATACAAATACAACTATTTATAGTCTTTGCCTACAATAATATTATATTGTATTGTATAATATACTTATATTTCGTCACTCTTTAAGACTGAGTATCCAATAGGTAATATATGATTAATGTTTATATGATTCGCGTTCCTAGATATTATGACTGAATACTATTATAGGCACGTAGCGGATTTAATCAGTGATGTAATTATAGTACCTATATCAATACCAATAATATAATATTATAACAATAATACAAAAATTATTTAAAAACGCAAGTAGGAGGTACTTATGTATATAATAATGTAACAACGGCGCAGCGGCATGACATCGTAATCGGTTCGATGGCGGTTTAGTGTGAGTTAAAAAAAAAATACCATCTATATATAGGTACTACGTACTGTAGAGAATTCGATGCTTTAGTATCTGGAGCATAAAGCGTAACGCGCGCGCTTGTGTATATACAGGTACCACGTAATTTTTTACTATGTACAATATACATATTATCCGCGTTAAGGTATATTATAAATACATGTAAAACAACGAAACCATACGCGTACCTTACATATTATACCTGCCGAGCCTACCGGATGATCCGTTTATCCATCACCTGCAAACATGCTTAACTCGTTGCCTCAGTCACTTGCAGAGGTTGTAACCATGATTTCAGAAAAATTAAATCATAACGTAAAATCGAAAGTTGTAATGTTCCAAATATACTCCTTCTAAACTTGTAATTAAATTATATAACACTATCCATGATGCTTCGGCAGATATAACAATAAATTATGAAATACTATTAAGTAATTTTATTGTCAAACCAAAGCTCAAATGAAATAAAAAATTTGAAAAAAATACAGTTTATGGGATCTCATATAGTACTGTACAGCACTGCAGATAATTTATAAAAATTGTAAGAAACTGACAAATTGATGTAATTGTTACGATTATACGTAGATAATTAATTTTTTTGTATAACATCTTAATGAAATAAAATCATGTTTTGAAATAATAATACTTGAAATTCAATCATTTTGGAATCGTTTTTATAATGACAATAAAATATTAATTATAATATTGTAATCACCTTTGATAACTTTCATGCGTTAAACGTACACTACACCTGTTGCCTTGGCAGAGAGTGGCTCGTCGAAAACAGCTAGTACATATTATAACTATATTAAACATACACATTCCGTATTTGACATGAAAATAGTTAAAATGTCTAATTTATAATAATTATTGTACAATAGCAACTATAGTTAATCTCAATTATTCCGATCTCAGTCTATAAAATTGTATTTATATTTGCAATAAAAATATTGATAGCCAGAACCCAGAGTATAGGTATTTGAATTTTTTTCAAGACTTTTAAATGCTACATAAAACTATTATCGATTCAAAATATATTTCTTAAAAAAAAGACCATACAAAAAAATTGAAAAATGCAATAAACTAAATTGAGTAACATATTATAAACTAGCGATTTAAAGATTTCAGAGTTAAGATTGTAGTTTTATGGCGACGTTTATGGTCGTCAATAAAGTTTTTCAGATTAATATATTTTGAAAACTATTAGTTTATTTTCTTCCATGTCACAGTAATTACAATAATTGTAATATTTGTAATACATACCATATAACAAATCTAAATTTAAAAAATTAAGTTTTTCGTGTTTCTTAAAGTTTAAACGATAGGAGGTGGATAATAATATATTGTCTACATGTTCGTAGAGTAGTTTGTGGGTCATATGTCCGAGAACAAACAATGCGGACCCTCTAGGTAGATACATATCATCTATGAGAGAATACGATTTTGTGCGCGACGATTCAGGCTTTGTTCAAGCCACATATCACTGGACAAGAAAGGGGAATAATTTGAGTTCAGCATAATATCTATGAAACCAAGTTAAAAAGAAAACAGAAGCGTGGGTTGAAGTTATGATAAATGAACGGCTTAAATCGTTTGGGAGAAAATAAGACAGAACACCGCAAGACTAGTGAAGTTTTACGTAATAATAACAAGCATAATATTCATAATATAATAAAATCATAAAATCATAAAAAAAATGCAATTACGCGTTTACAACATACTTGACATTTTTTTTAAATATCAGAACAATGAGTCATCGCGACATCTGTATATTAAAATATTTGATGTATTTTACAAAATTGTTTAGCATACATTAGGTTATGATTACATATAATACAACAAGTTACCGTATGATCGATACTCTGACATCAATTTACATCGTTTCTAACAGGTCCAGGAATAAATGTGGAAATGTAAATTATTATTGTTTTTACTTCTACAATTAATAATGTACTCGTTTGTTTTTACGT